CCGAACTGAATAAACCGAAATCGAACCATACCGAATTTAATTAGGTACGGTATTGGTATAGGATTTAAGAAAACCGAATACCGAAAATACCGAACCAAAATATCTAAATACCGTACCGCACCGACCGATGAACACCCCTACTCAGGACTATGCAGTTCCAGTTATACCTGATGACGAGCAGCGTCGACTGGAGAGATTTGGTAGACTTCAGCCTCCGACTTTTAGCTGAGCAGAGGGCGAGGATGCCCAGGGTTTCTTAGACAAGTGCCAGAGGATTCTATGTACAGCAGGGAGAGCAGCTGCATCAGGAGGGCATGTCCGTGAAGCGGTCAGTATGAGATGAGGTTCTCTGAGTTGGCCCGTCATGCTATCTGGCTAGTTCCCACGGATAGGGAGAGGATCAGGAGGTTCATTGATGGCCTCAACTATCAGCTATGGATTTTTCTGACCAGAGAAAGAGTATCTGGCGCTTCTTATGAGGAGGTGGTTGACATTGCTAGGGAGATTGAGTCAATTCGTCTCCAGGAGCCAGAGGAGAGGGAGGCCAAGAGGCCTCGGGGATCTGGTAGGTTTGGTGGTTCTTCTTCGGAGGTCAATTTTAGCACGGCAAAGGCCGTTCATCTAGGCATGCTCAGCCAGCCCGTTCATGTCATCGTGGTGGGTCATCTAGCCATGGTTCTCACACTTCACATCAGGGTCACTCGTCTCTCAGTGCCCTTCCAGCTCAGAGTTCGACTCAGGCACCATCAGTCCAGGGCTCATCTATGCCTGGTTCTTCTAGTGGGCATCCCGGTGTGCGGGGCTCCCACCAGTCCCCACCGCCATTTGCCGCGAGGGGTTGCTTCGAGTGTGTATATTTGGTTCATATCAAGAGGTTTTGTCCCCGTCTAATGGAAGGATCATCCCAGCAGAGGAGTCAGCCTTCAGCTTCAGCACCAGCTACTTCTCCACCCGCTCAGTCAGCTAGGGGTAGAGGTCAGTCAGCTAGGGGTCGCCCTAGAGAAGGAGGTCGATCAGGTGGTGGTCAGGCCCGTTTCTATGCTCTTCCAGCCAGACCAGATGCTATTGCTTCAGATGCTGTGATCATAGGTATTATATCAGTCTGCCGCAGAGATGCCTCTGTATTATTTGATCTCGGTTCTACTTTCTCTTATGTGTCATCATATTTTGCCCATTATTTGTATACGCCCTGCGAGTCTCTCGTTTCTTCTGTTCATGTCTCTACTCCGATGGGCGATGCTGTTGTGGTAGACCATGTATACCGGTCCTGCCTTGTGTCTATTAGGGGCCTTGAGACCGGAGTAGATCTTCTGCTACTTTGTGTGGTGGACTTTGATGTGATATTGGGCATGGATTGGTTATCTCCGTGTCGGGCTATTTTGGATTGTCACGCCAAGACAGTGACTTTAGCTATGCCGGGTTTTCCACGGATTGAGTGACGAGGTTTGTCTGATTATGTTCCCAGTAGGGTAATCTCATTCTTGAAGGCCCAGCGTATGGTTGGGAAAGGTTGTCTTTCATACTTAGCATTTGTGAGGGATGTCAGTGCAGAGACTCCCAGCATTGATTCTGTTCCAGTTGTGAGGGATTTTCCCGATGTGTTTCTTGCAG